CTTTATTCATCATGCGTCCCGTTGGGCGCCAATTAAAACGCCAGCCGTCTGGCTAATGCGACAATAACGAGGCCCTCGATGGGTGAAACGGAAGGGAATGTCAGAAATCCCAAATCCCGAAAAACCTTTTCGGGCGACCTCCGCTCGACAGCCGCCTGTCAATGACAGGGCACACCTGCGCTAATGGTCCGGGGAATACGACAATGCCCGCGGTGTCTGTATCTGCTCCTTGGCATTATTACGGGTATTTTCCCGGAAAGTCGCCTGGGGGGCTTGCCGGCACAATTAATTATTGCATTTTGCTGACTGACTCGGCAGGCCTTGCCTACAAAAAAAGGATTGGCAGGAATTTCACCACTCACCGTTTAATTGAATGCGATTTTCCCGGGGCTCCCTGGACAAATTAAATTATCGGGCAAATTCAAATTGCATTAAATGCCATTAGGCAAAAAGCATAGAGAGTTAAGCAGGCCCTTCGAATTGAATTAGGCAAACACAATTAAAGTTAAGGAAGAGGAAAACTTTGTGTTCGTGTGATTCCGGGGCTGTCAGAAAAATCAGTCAGTGGGACAGAGTTAAAGTCAAAAGTCATGTTGGTGACAGGAAATGCGGGGGACAGTCCTTGAAAAGCTGTCACCGAGTGTCAAGAGTCAAAAGAAAACTTGTGTGTGTGGCAACACTTGTTGATTTTGGCCAAAAGAAACGAAAAGTTTGTCGCTTTTTTCCTCCTTTTTTTTTGCCAACCTGTGTCCACCACAAGGCAAAAGGTAAACTCTGTCTCAAATTGGAAAGCGGAAATTGCAGGCAGCACATTTTGTATTCTTTGATGCTTATAAATTAGGTTTGGAGTCGGAAAAATACCCCCAAAAATAAAAGAGGGGAAAACAGCTTCCTCCTGAAGGATAACACGAAAGAGATAGAGCTCCTCGGGTAACCAAAAAAGAGGATGCCTGGTAAAACCGAAACCCACAGCTGGCCAAAAGTTTTTGCCAAGAACTGCAGACCAAGTCGATGATTCAAGGCATGTGGTCTTGGTCTTGGTATTTTCCATTGGCCAAAAAAACCAATTATAACCTGAAACTTTGGCTCAACTCTCTATCTACTTTTTAGTCATATGATAAAAAAGGGTCTGGTTTACACTTTAAATGGCTGAGGAGCCAAAAAACATATTTCTATATGTAAATGCAGGACGCTGACTTGTTGCCGTTTTAAATTATTTATGGGCCAATTAGTGGGGTCGAAAGCAACCGAAAAACAGGGCAGACTTTCAAGTTGGGTATCCAGTTTATTGATTTGTTTTGCATTTCGCACAGACAGCCACAAAAACTTTCCCTTTAACCCTAACCGAGTTGTGGAAATATGAACGTGGGTTTTCTGTGAACTGGAACTCGAACTCGGATCCTCTGGCATGCATTTCTACATTACCACATTTCTGCATTGCAAATGTCAATGGTGCCAGTTGGAATATGGAAATAAATTGCCAATGCCGAGAGACGCAAGATAGTTGGGGCAAATTGAAAAGTTCCCGCCAACGAAGGTGTTACATTTCTTGGGGATTACGGTTCTGTAAGGATAATGCTGTGCAATTTACGGACGACAGTGTGATGAATGAAAAGGCTAAGTGGAAAATGGCCCTGAGCATTGCTCTTAACTCATTAACACGTTGATTTTCACACTTTAACTTTGCGGTCGTCAGCGGGAAAAATAAGCCGTTTTAAATCCGGTTAAATTGCTTTGCCAGCGGCATTGATTGATATCCTGCGAAGCAATCAATTAAGCGAACAACGATGTCAAACACTTTGCACTCAATTTTGATTGATTTTCCGTGAGCAATAAAGTGCTGAAAATAAGAGAAAAATGATATGTATTTATAGCAGTCGAGATCGGTATTTATTATGGGTTAAAACTATATACTATTAGAACCATATACGATCGAACTACTGGTCTTTATAGCGACTGTGGCTGACAAGCAGTGGCTCAACTTGCCTGGCAGCTGCTGTCCCAATTCGATTTGCATAAAGAATGTTACCCAGTTGCGATGACAGGCTGTGGAAATTGTTTTTAAACCGTCAACGGCAGGAGGATTGAGCAAGTTCTCTCAGACATCCCCGTTGACAGCTTTAAGTTTCTGTTTTCCCTAGCCCAAACAAGCTACCAACCAAGTTCAAAGTTTACCCCCCCCCACCAAACAATGATGATGGACTTGTTTAAGCCGGGAAGAGCAAATATTTAATTAGCCAAGGTCCTCGGGGCTGGGCGGTAGAACCACTAAGCAGATGAGATAAGGGGGCACACATCCTGCGGCCAAATTTTTCGGCAACCACAGGCATTCGAGCGTAAGGCACGTCAGATGAAATACACTTTATGGCCAAGGACCTTGGGGGAATTCCCATCGCCGGCGCCAACTAGGCGCTAAGTTTTGCCCCTATTCATAATACATCTACACATAATTAAGGAGATTTCCCGAAAAGGCAGAGGCTACACATAAATCACATACGACCTGAATGCTCATCTCGTTCTAAGGACCCTCTTTTAATTACAGACGAAAGTAGCGCTGCGGATGTTTTTACTCTAGGATATTGTATATTCCTCTCCGGCTTTTTTCTAAGCTTTGTCGGTAGAGTGACCCCTTTATTCAGAACATTTTAGTATCCAAAAAAGTTTTGTAACTCATAAGTGTTTGCTATAATTATAATCTTGTACGTATATCAGCCTTAAATGTATTTATTCTTTATTTTTTCCAAGAGTATAGGGTAGCTTGGTGTTCAATTTTACTAATTTTGGAGATAATCAAAGAGATAATAGTAATATTCGAACAGCTTTTGACATTTATAAGTACAAATCGCACTAGTATTTTAAATGTAACCATAACAATTAATGATATATTTCGGTCCCTGTTTACTTCTTATCGAAATGCAAGACTATTTTTGACCGATCCTTAAGTATTACTTTTTTCTTCCAGTGAAAAATCAATACTGCCTACCTGAAACCTCTGTTTTTCTGTTATTTACCGGTTGGTTCACTATATTTAAATACTTTTTATACGCTCGTTTGACCTTTGCCCTGATGCCAACTTAAATGCCCCACCTCTTAAGTGCTGAGGATGGCGTTAATTAAAGCAGCTGCCGAACAGGAACCCGAAACTCGAACCCTTTGAAAAAGATTTCATGTATAGTGGCCGCCTAAGCGACTTATAATTGAGTTCCGTTTGCCGCGCTGCTGAAGTTGCCATTTTATGCGCACAATTTGGTTAATTAAAATGCTACAATTGCGTTGGCATTTTTGTGGCGCCTCGTTTGACTGCCTGCCGTCGCCATTTTCCCCACTTATCTGGGTCCTTCAGGTGCTGCCAGAAAGTGTCCTCGTCGCCGGTTGGCAAGTAACGGTAAAGGATCTTCCAGGCAACGGCTGCAAACGACGCATATGTACAATGTTGACGGAAGTTCAAGAAAGTTGAGGGGGCACTGAAGTTAAGGACCTGCCACACACACATTCCATTTGATTTCATTTGCGCCTTTGCCGCACTTTAAACACCAGTTTCACCACGATTTTGTTTGTTTGGCTGGCGTTGGCAATGGCTGTTTTCTTGCACTTGATTCCCTTGAACTTTTTATTTAGTGGCACTTTGGGCATTTCAATTAGGCTAAGCGCGGAAACACGGAAATACCGCTGCCACAATCGCCACTTCCGGCGGATATAAAAAACCACGTAGCACCAAAAGTGAGCGAAATAAAGAAAGAAATCTCTGCATATCAAATGAAGAGAAGAACAAACGTTTCGTACATATTTCGAGCACATTAAACATTTATTTTTATTTTTATTTTATTCTTTTTTTTTGCGACATGCATCTCTGCAAATGGAAAAGTAGTTGGAGTGGAATATTTACATTTGTTTTCCGCTCTGAGTTCTCTTTTTTTCTGTACTTTGCTATTGTCTCCTCCTAGCTTTAGTTTTCTGTTGCCCTGTAATATACAGGAGTAATTTGGATATTTTCAAAATAAAATAAAATAAGGGCTGGTTTAATAAATAAAACAAAATGCTGAAATCTTAAGTAAACCATTTAAAGGAACACTTTAAATCCCTTAAAACCCTTTTCTAGTTTCAGAAATAATATTTCTCCATGGGTATCTAAAAGTCTTATACATAAAATCCACCCTCAATGCTTCTAGTTTTTATCTGTACTTGCATGGCCGCTTCTCATGCAACATTTATGAGTGTTTTGGGGCACAAAAGGCAGCAGTTTCCATGAATTTTGAGAACGCCGAGTTGTGCAGAACGTTTTCAGCTTGATATTTTCATGGCTTGTATAAACTGCTAAAGGCAGAAGCCATTTGGATGCTAAGTTTCCCCAAAGTTGACCTTTAAAGCAATTGAAGTGATGAGTTGGGAATCCTTTTTTCCCAACTTGGGCTCAATTAACTCATTAAACTTTACTCCGTTTGCCTCGCTCAGGACCAATTAGCGAGCAATTTGGTAGTCTATGGTAAATTTTTCACCACCAACCAAATATTCTAGTAATTATAAATGTAATTGAGGAAAATGTAAAGGTGTGAGAAATGAGTGGTATTAAATGGAGCATTATAAAAGGCTTAAAGTAATATTGAGAGCAGTATTCAGAATACTTGGAGAACCGACAGCATATTTCCTTTATACCGTCAGCTTCATAAAATGTGAATTTTGATGGAAAGTTTTAGCCCACGAAACTTTTTGTACGCAGATTATCGTTAAAGATTTTTGAGTTCCTTCCCGCTGTATTGTTGGCTTGCCAAACTGTTGCATACTTTTAGGGAAGTTGTGAAGAGCGGAGCATGTGTTTGCTGTGTCAACTTTTGCCCAAAACTTTTTCCATATTTGTAGCCATAGCAGCTACATCATCCCATCTGCAAAAAAAAATATTCCTTAGAATTTTTTTGAATACATATAAGCCCCATCATCAAAGGACCTGAAAAAATCCACAAAACCACAATGAAAATCCCCCAAGAAGAAAAAAGACAATCAAGTACACCGAAGTAAATAGACCATTTATTTAGATGCTCAGATTTTGTGTTCATACAGAGAATTAATCCATTTGCACATTGAGTTACATTCAACATCTACAGTTTGTGTTATGTGGTTTTGTTCTATGGGATGGGTATTGGGCTCTAAGCGGTTCACATAGACGACATCAAACAGTTTAAAACGATTGACCTAACTTAAGTAGAGTTGTTTTCTTGCTCTGCTTGGTACTTGGTTTCGTTCTTTCATCGCACTTCTCTCTAAAATATAGTACTAGCTAACTAATCGCACTCGCAGATCTCGATCTCCGACACGGAAGTGGAATTCAATGAAAGTTCAGTCTCTTAAGATGCAGTTGCTAAGGATTTGTCTACACCGAGTTCTCCTCGAGTCCTTGCTGGAATGGCAGAATGATTAGTCAGGCACTGGCCTAGTGTTAGTGCCTTCCACCTCTCTCACCCTCATCAGGGGACTAATGGCCCGGGGCATTACGCTCAGAGTGCTGCCGGAACTCATGGCATTGGCCGCCAAAGTGGGCATCGTGTGCAGGGCATTGTTGGATCCACGGTGGAGTGAAAGTGGTGCATGCTGACCCACCAGCGTGGTGGTGGTGGCCGAACTCACGCAGGATTCCCGCTTTCCGCGTCCATAGTAGCTGGTCAAGGGTCTGCAACGGGGGTGGGGTCAGGAGGTGCCATCACTTCTAACCCAGTATTATCACATAACTTACCGCATGCTCTCAGCCCGAGGGGAACCACCGCCCTTTGTGAAACTTTTCGTCGTGTAACTATAAAGTTAAAAAAAGAATGCAGAGAGAGAAAAATGTTCATAATTACTAAATTGTACAATCTATCTATTTATCCCGAACATTAAAAAAGCCGTTTAATGCCTGATTACAAATTTTTCCAACTCTAGAATTTGTCTTCATTATTTTTCGAGAAGAAACGTTCTTGAAATCAAGAAGATTGTACTCTTAAGTTTGTTTTGTAAACATTTTTGTTGATATGAAAGAAGTCTTGCAAGTCGAAAAAACGCATTTGAGATCATATTTTCTTTTTGATTTTAAAGGAACCAATAATACATCAATCCCTCTTCTTATCCCTTAGAGTGCAAGCTTCTATTCTAAGCCCTTTTTCAGACTTTAAGTCATCTTCCCTCTTTTTAACCCTTAGAGTGCAAGCTTCTATTTTAAGCCCTTTTCAAGGTTTGAAGTCATCTTTTCATTTCCAGTGAACTGTGGACAAACTCAAAAGTTAAGACTACTTACCGTCGGTTCTGGTTCAGCTGGATGGTGCGCGTGTCTCGCCACGTGGAAATGTGGTGTCTTAGAGCATTACGCACCTCCGAGTTAAGGAAACAGTAGAACAGCGACACCGAGAAGCCCTGTGACATATATACGTTCCGTTAGAAACAAGCAAGCTTCGACTTTGGAAGACAAAACCCACCTGAGTGCTGAGTAAAACCGCCCGTAGAACAGCAAACATGTGACCCATTAAGCCGGACTCCGACGGACCTGCCAGAACCACTAGGTAGGTGATTCCGAAAAGGGGGATGAGCACCAGCAGGGCCTTGGCTGCCTTCCGATACTGACGAGTCTCCACTGTATTGGCCGAGCGCAGCTTTGTGATGAGAACCTGAAAGAGAAGCAATCCGATTATCTGGCTCACTATTTTTGACCATACACTCAGAAAAATATCTATATGAAATACTAAATGAAATACTATAAAATATCATAAAACATTTCTTTAATTTTAGCCCGAAAGCAAATAAAAACGTGTACTTGCCACCTTCTGGAAAGTTAAATTTATCGGTAACTAAATTTGTTCTGTGTAAATTCCATACGCACCCACATGATGCGCAGCAGGAAGGTGAGATTGATGATTAGCACCGCACAAACAGGTCCCTGGTAAATCCAATCCACATGGGTCTCCTGCATCCAGGGGCAGTTGATTTCGTACTGTCAAAAAGGGGAAACAGAAAGAAGAGTGGTCTCTATGGGCTGCTTTACAGTAATCCAAAATCCCAAAGTCCTACCTTTTCGGGGGTGCTGTAGGTGACCGTCAGACTCTTGGCCACCGCCCAGGTGACTACAAACAAGGCCGGACCACCTGCCATCATGGGGGTAGACTTAATTGGCTGGCACACACAGCTTGGCCTCCAGACAACACTTACCCCAGCCTATGGAGGCGTAGATATTGAATCGCAGATTGTCCCCCGAGAAGGTCTTGACCACCAGCATATAGAGGTACAATCCCTCGACCAGCATCCAAAAGAAGTTCGTCAAGGTGAAGAAATGGAAGAGGGTGATCAATGCAATGCAGCTGCCCACACCACTGCGGATGGATATCTGGATATAAGGAGGTAATCCCCGATAAATTACAATCATTTGTAGCCTGTCTTGGCCATTTCATACTTCATGCTCAAGTATGATTTAATAAGACTGCAATTGCAATTATCTCGCTGACATAATGCTCACCTGGACGGATAGCAGGAGTATCCAGAACAAAGCCGACATGATGTACGTGAAGAAGAGGTTGGCGTGAATGGTGTTGCGCAGGCAACGCAGCTCCCTGCGGCACAAAAGGGCGAAAGACAAAGGGCGGGGCAGTCGGGGGTTAAGCGAAAATAGATGCCATGGATGGGGTCACCAGGGGGTCGACTCACTTGAAGTAGGCGAAAACAATCAGCGCCAGCGAGAGCGATACCAGACTGAGGGTATATCCAATGTAGTAGATAATGGTGGGCAGCTCCACGATGACCTCGAACTCTGGCACGGATTCGGGGGCGGGGAGATGGGCGCAGGCATCGTAGTTTGTGTACTTCTCCCAGGTCCCATTGGCATGGCAGAACCTCGTTGCATTCTCTGGGTAAAGTCAAAAGGGCACGCAAAAAATATGTAAGCATTTTTAAAATAAAGTGGGTGAAGTGTACTTAGAGCAGCGGTCGACAGCCTCCCATTAAGCGGGCAAAGGGAATACCTCTGCTCGAGCTCTGCTGCAACAAGTACAGTGTACCACAGCGGTCGACACACCCACACATCGATGAACTGCACCGTGCATAAAAACAATATCCCATTGTATTGTTTGCCGACCGCTGTCTTAAAGTTCTATTTTATAAATTACCCATTAGATTTCGGATATCGATTGAAATAAATCATTAATATGTTAAATCATATAATAGTACATTCAATAATTAAGATCATAACCTTTAGTTATTCATTTTAAAATATACAAATAATTAAGTTAATCCGACATGCTGTTATGGCTTTGATTAATTATAACCTTTTTAATTATAAAACTCTTGAGTTCTATTATTAAATTTCATGGTGTATAAGGTCATAGGTCAAAGGGGAATTTCCCATGGTGGTTGATTTTCTTGCACTTACTGCTGCTATCGTAGTGAATCCCCTGCAACTCGTCCATGCACTGGAGCACTGCCAAGGTTCCGCGGGCCGTCCTCGGCCAGCACAGGATCGAGTCGAACTGGGTGCGGCAGTGGTCACTGGTGTTGCCATAGGTCGAGGCCTCGATGTGCTCCTGCACCAGGCACTGCAGCTCCACGCTCTCCCCGATGGCGTCCAGGTTGTGCAGCTCCAGGAGCGGGTCACTCCCGCTGGCATTCACCGAATCGATGTGGTCGTGGTCACTCATTCTACAACATCCTGGCACTCAGCACTTCTGGTTCTAAGAAACGTCAAGAAGTCGAAGAGGTGGCATCAACACGAAGTAAAAGTAACTTATGTTCAAAATATATTCAGAATTCGGGAAAAATAAGTGTTAGAAAAATGTAACTTATAATATATTGAATTGATAAAGAAAGTAGGTAAAAAATTTTCTGTTCAATTTTAAATACAAGCTTAAACTATTATTTGATTATTAATTTTCTTTTAACATAGTTCTTTAAATTCTTGTTGGCTTGAAAAATCTTCTTTGCTTTTATAATATCATATACATATTTGTATTAACCCTTATGTTAATCCAAAGTTAAATTTCTAATTCGTAGTATATTTAATGTTGGGATACAGAAATACTGTTTCAGGCATTAGCTGATTGGATTGAAATGTGGGTATGTTATGATTTCCTGACCATTTCCCTTCGTATTGACAATGCTCATACCACTCCCTTGCAGAATTCCTTCAATCAGAAAGTTATAATTCCCACAATTGTTAGGGGATTCCCCAACGGTCGGCTGGAACCAAGCAGCCGGGCAAAGTTCAATTGGCAACCCTTCTGCCCGCAGCCTATGGCTTTCAGCCTTTGTGTGGGTGTGTTAATTGCATTGGCCCTGTTTCACCGACTCCGAGCCACGCCCGCATCGTGACTGCCTTAAAGACCATAAATTCTGCGGGATATACGCTTTAAGACTGAGACCATTTCCAGGGAAAACAGGCTAGATAAGTAAATGCACAGTCCCATCGCCATAAAAATTCATTAGTTTTGCCATCAAAGGCGGAAAGAAGCATCAGCAAATCATGGAGATACCAGGCTATTTTTGGGTACTACTGATATGGGAGCCATAAAAAGTCAGTCGAAGGGCCCGAGTCAAGGTTGATGGTGATAGAAATTAGAAACGCTAACTTCCTGCCAAGGGTTGTGCGCTGTGGCCCCAGTGTTTTGGTTTGTTTTGCCTCAGAGACGAGATCCCGCATAAATGTTCTGATAATAAATGGCATAAATGATGCATCGTTACATTAATGCACGACATAAAACTGGGCGGAAAATAAGACACTCACATACGATATATTAAATATGTAGATGGGTCACAGTGACCTATAAAAGTTTTCGGTTTGCTCTAAAATCAAAAGCGGAAGCGGTTACCATTCGCCACTTAGCCCTGGGAAATTTTAGGTAAACAGGAAACCGCATTGTTCCTAAGAGAATGGGAAAAAGAGAGAAACCTACGCTGGAATTTAAATCCATTTCAACTGGAAATGATTATCTTTTAAGTGCTACCCAACCCGAGCCAATTACTTTCTGTGGAATTTCCGATTTACTCGGACAGCACATTCCCCAGGCGATTTTCTAATTGGCACAAGAATTTCCAGCCACAACCCATGAAATATTAAACCCGCAGGCAAATTGAAAATTCCGCCCAAGGACTTCTGGCTCCCAATGTGTCTGCCCTGGCATTTTCCTGTTCCCATTGTTGCTCCTTTTTTGTTTTTCTCGTAAATTAACGCAATGCATGTACATAAAACAAAAGGCTGGCTGATTATTACTGCACGGCCACATGCCTGCACGTCTTTGCCGGAGTTTGCCAAGGTCCTGGATCCTGGTTTTCTGGATCCTGGGCCCCCCTGGTTCATTAGCCGCTCGGTTACTTATAACACATACGCCCCGTTGCCTCTGCCTCTTGTTTTCCAGCTTCGCATGCTTTCAGCACAGATGAGTTAAGACAGCAATATGTACAAGCCGCAATTTTAAGTTGAAAATATTTTGAGAAGGGAAAAAAAATGCAGAGGACCGCCTCTAATTACCTCATAAATAACGTCGGGCCAAATTAGCATGCCTAAATTATGGCCATAACTGCTAACTAATTGCATATTTGATTTCAATTCCTTTTGCAGAGGGGCTCCAGGAACACTTGGAAAAACCCATTTCAAATCAGCCTGTAAATGCAAATTTATTCGGACAGCTCGCATGGACAAATCACATTTATGTGGAGACAATTTGACGAATGTCCGACCGGAGGAAAAATGGGGGAAAACAAATTCCGGCTGGTCGTTGATTCGACGGCATAAAAAGGACATTACCACAAATATCCGAAATGTCTCGAGAAGGAGATGGACAAATCGCACATCGTTCCATTCCTACTGCTCCTCTGGCTCTTTCCACATGCTATTATAGAAGATTGTATCTAATCTCGTACGATTGCACACAATGGATTTGCCAAAGGAGACACAACAAAAAATAGGGGATTGCTAGGGGGATTGCTTGTGGGTTCTTTACTTTACTTTCCACTTTTTTTCCATTTTTTTTCCCACCCATGTGAGAGATTCTGCAATTTCCGGCTGCTATAATGCTTATAAATGTTTGCTCGCAATTGCCGGGGATTTCTTTAGGGGATTGAAAATATAATAACAGTGCGAATAGTGGCAAGCGTTCGCATTTTCCACTTATCCAACCAAATATGCAGACAAAAAATTAAATTCCCGTTTTTTCAAGCCATTGAAGGCTGCTTTTTCAGTGCTTTTTTCACCTTTCATTGCAGGAAAAGTGCGCTATTTTCGGATCTCATTAATGTAGCTCATTAACTTATATATATGCATAAGCTGCCAGAGCAGCAGTGGCAAAAAAAAGTAAAGCATTTAAAATTTATAAACGTGCCACACACAAGAGACCAGCATCACTGGCACATTACGTATACGCCGCATGGACAAAGGCGGCTTGGAAAAACCATCAGGAGCATCATGCAGGCATAAGCGTATAGAAAGTTTGTAATTAAATTGCTCATTTGGGCGTGGAAACAATGTATTCGATCGTGAGTACAGAAGGGAGTTTATACTGGGGAAATATATTATATTCGGCATACAGGCCAGAGGGAAATATATGGCTAATTTTATTCATCCTCCTTGGGCGGTTAAATTTTATTGTTTAGAATTTTCCGAACCATCCTCAGAGGGCGATAAGGAAAAGCCAGTCTAGACAAGCCAACATCATAATTTGCAGGCACGCACTGCCATTTCCATTTCCGCTTGAGCCAGATCTGCTGGCCACTTGGAAAGCTTAAGTCAGCACATATTCTTTGGTAAGGAAGATGGACTGAGGGAATGGGGTGCGGATGGGGCAGGATACTCCGGCGATTGCCAACAAGTGTTGCGTTTTATTGTCTGGCCTTTAACGGCTCTCCATTGTGTGTGGCACGTGCAGGCGCCTGCAGTTCGAGCTACGTGAGGGATCTCCACTCCTCCGGATAGTCCCGGCATAAACCCATAAAAACCTGCCACAAAAGCAGCGAACCTGGCCACCAAATCTGTTATTTATTGGTACAATAAAAATTTTGGTTTAATGCATTACAAGTTGCCGAAAGGTTAGGGTGATTTACTTAGATTTACTCAGCAGGCAGCGGATGTTCATGTTCGCAGGGCAACAAGTCGTCCTTCCTGGTTAACAGTCAGTTTATTAGAGTGATGGGGTGGGAGGATGGGGCATTGGATTGCTGATTCCTGGTTGGAATTTTTCGAATCGATACTGCAAACAGGCAAAACAATGCCTCTACTGGCCCCTAAAAACTCCCAAACCCATCTTCTGCGCACTTTCAGTAGCAGAATTTTCGCTTTTGTAAGCGATTGCATTGTTTGCAGCAGGTGAGCGTGTGTGCATGCTCTGGATTTTAATTAACCACAATTTGTTTTCCTTTCCCAACCAACCGCTCTGAAATTGCCTACCTTCTTCTCAAACTAAGCTCGTATCCGCAGAATGGTATTGCTATCGCCACTCCCTCGATTTTTCCTTTGGTATCCTTGGGATTTCTTGTGTTTAACACTCGGGACTTTTCAACTGACCACTGAAACCGCAGGAGGCGAATCCTTTGTCCTTTCGGCCCCTTACTTGACCCGGCTTAAATGCGTTTAACGCCTTCTAAGCTACGAAATGATTATGTTTAAGCTGTTTTTGCTAGTTGCCTTGGTTATTGACACACACCCCGCACACACTGGGCCAAAACTTTATTGTGTTCGCATTTATATGCAGGATTATTTGTTATAGCGACACTTGACCCGCACACACAATACACTAAGGGCCAATGCCTTTGGAAAGTTATTCGTAAGAAATCTGTTATTCATTTATTTTCCTTGCTAATAAAAATTTGCATTTTTCTCTTTGCACATTATTTCAAAAATTTGTTTCCACTTTAACGGTTTTGAATGGGTTTCCGAAAAATTTGAAATTCCGAAACGAACCGCTCTCGTTCGCATCCCGCTGATAACTGAAGGGAAGCCCGAAGGATGTGTCTTAACAAGCCTCGCCTTCTTACCAAAAGGCGCCAATTTTGGGATCCACAAGGGGAAAGCTCGCAAAGCTGCATTCCACAAACTGTTGCCAAAGCTTTTCGCCGGGCAACAGGTGGAACCCGAAAAGGTGGGTTTGGGGATGGGGACCCCAAACAGAAACCTACTCGATTGCATTTCTAATGCCTGAAAATCTGCCTATTTGATTTATGCAAATATGTGCTGCGACCCCATTTTGTTTGCCCAGCATTTCGCTGTCTGTTTATTTAGGACATGCGGAAAAGGATACTCCGAATTCGGTAGATGTTTATTAGAATACAAGTATTGGAAGGTTGAACACCATACAGGTGTCCTTTGAAGTCGCAGACTGACTTAATTGTGAGTTCTGAAATGCGTGCGAGACACCTCTCACGTGGCCTAATCAAATTAAACTCAAGTGCCAGACCCACGGGCCTGACAGTTATTGAAATATCAATATGGCAAGTAAGGCCCTCTGGCAAATGATTTCCCGAAAATGTCTGAAATTAAATTGTAGAGAAAACAAAGGCAACATTTTTATTTACAAGCATTTTTTTCAGTCTGCTAAATTTTATATTACAATGATAAACATTTAGACGGATGTTCCGCCTGCTGTGTGGGGTCATGGAATGTGTGTGACACATGAGGGTTGCTGGGTTGCTGGGTTACTGGGTGGGGGGCGATTTCAGTTAAACATAAAGTCTAGGGGATGGCGACATCCTTATCCAAACTGTTTGATTTTCAAACAAATGCTAATGTCAACTGCCACTCAGAAGCATTTAAATTCCAATTTAAAAATGCTTTCTCTCCATGCCAAAAGCAAAGACATGTTCGTTGTCCTGTACTGTGCTCTTCTGCCTCCCTCTTTCTCCGTTTCTCTGTTTCTCCACTTCTCTGTGTATCTCTTCTTCCCCGATTCTCCAGTTCTCAGCATTAAAGCGTTCCTGTCCCATGCATTTTTAATGTCACACGCATTTCCAGTGATTTTTTTTCCCAGAGTTTCTCCTCTCTTGAATGTCGCTCACATTTTTCAACTCAAAGTTTTTAATTCATTTCAGGATAGCCTGGGGAAACCATTGAACGCATCAGCTTTGTTGCAACCATTGTTTCGAAACTGCATAGAACAAATTTTTTTATTAACAAGATACACTTGGGGAAATTGGAAAACTAAAATCAATCAGAGTGCAAAACTTCGATAAGCTAGTTTTAATTCATTGGGGATTATGAAGGTGCCTTCTATTGTTCTCTCGCAGCATTTAAGCCCACCTTAAGCACAAAAGAACTCTGACGAAATCGTTTTATGCCCAAAAAGCCATCAGCTTAGTGGCTAGGAACATAAGGAGCAAATCACTGAGCAGAAGACACAACATGCCCACAAAAGAGAAGCACGCACACACTTACACTGAAAGAATAGGAATCAAAAGCTTTTAGTTTTAAATTATATTGAGTCTTTGGAACCATTATAGTGGCACAAAGAAAACTGTGTGGAATAGGACGATCTGTTATATTAATAAAAATGCCTTTTTCAGGTATAGCTTGAAACTTAAAAGAATTTTATTTCTCCTTCTATTGGTTTGAATGTCAGAGGATTATCACCAATTTATAAAAAAATCTAAGGATCTTAGCATCCCCTAAAAGTAAATCTACTTTAAGATTATATTTTAGATAATATTTGTATAGCAGAAACAAGACTAGGTCGTCTTAGAAAAATGTTAATGTATATTCTTTGTTTATTAATAACATCCTATACCAGAACTTGGATCCTTACAGTTCTTGTTCAAATCTAAGTAGACCGCTCCCAAAGTTCTCTTTTGGCCACCTGAAGATTATTGACCCTCTTGGTGATTTTGGTAATCTCGTCCTCGATGTCCTGGTTGTCCGGATGCTTTTCCTGAGCCCGCTGGTAGGATATGCGGGCACGATCGTAGTCCCCCAAAGAAGTCAAGGCACGACCCTCCTGGAAGAGTGCCCTCCAGGATGGCTGGTTTCCGGTGATAAGCCGCAGTTCCTTCATCGCGTTGCAGGCGCACTTTGGCCTGTTCAAATTGTTGTAGCAGATCATCAGGCCTTGGAAGAGGTTAATTAAAAGATCGGTTTTCTGTCGTTCTTCCTCGGAATTCGTCATGCGGCAGGTCTTCAAGAAGTTAATTGCCTTCTGAAAAGAGGTCACCGCATTGCGATAATGGCAGCGCCTCACCCAAATCTTGCCTTCCTGGTAAAAGTCCTTTGCCTTGGGATAAACCACGTTGAACTTGTCGCGCTCTTCCTCGGGGATTTGGTTTTCATCGATCGGCGAGTAGTCGATGATCTCCACTTGGAACAATCCATCCGCCTTGGGTTTAATCAGAGGCGGAGATCCCTGCTCTCCAAAGAGCAGCTCAAAGGATATAACAAAGTCGGCTTTCTCGTAGGGGCGCATGGTACGAACAGCAGTCTCCAGTCCTTGGAGGACCATATCGCCACCAGTCTCAAATTCGAGCAGTTTGGAGGATTTAAAGGCGGTGCTCTCGGCTTCCCAATAGGCCCTGTACCTTATCGAAACCCGAGCCTTAGGCGGCACAGGATCCCGTTCTTCATGTCCTTCGCGAGTAATATGCTTGTAGATATGCTCATCGATGCGATTCATTTGAGTTCGTAGCTTTTCGAGGGACTCCGTCCAAGGGGAAGAGACTTCTTCATAACTCACATCTGACATATCCCCATAATATTGTTGCTCTGTCATGTCCCACATTCTTAAGACTTTTCGAGAATATTCAGATAAAAATGTTGCCTTGATCTTTTAGTACCTATAACAAAGGTAAGATTCCTTAAACAGCTGGGATATACAAATATTGATTTCTCCAAAAATGCAACTTATTTAAGAGACGCACAAATAACAGAAGACTAGATTATATTATTTGGTAGTGTTACACAATAGGTTTAACAGTTGTTAAGTGTTGTTTTAGAAAATTTGATGTTACCCTACTAAAAAAAAAAATGTTAACTAGATATTTCCTAAACTGTTAAATTACCGAAACGTTGAAAAAAAATGTTAAAATGTTAAAACATTTTAGACTTTTTTTATTATTAGTTAATTTTTAAAAATTATTATCAAGGTATAAGATCTTACAATTTACTTCCTAATTTGATATTTAACTAAAGAATGCTTTCTTATTATACTAAAATGTCAACTCTCAATAGCAACTCTCATGGGTTTTTATGAAATAAGGTGACAACTCTGTTTCTAGCAATCAAAGAGCCTCGAAGTTTTAGAATTGCTGTTATTTATTAAAATGTAGCAGCCTTTAAGGTGCTGACCAAAATTCAACAATTCACCAATTCACCAATTCAACAATTTATGGAAGATTCAAAATGCTCTTTTGGAATTAGAATTTATTAGTTTTGGTAAATAAAATTAACATTACGCTTATTTAAGTTACTTATAATATATGTTAGCGCCAGATCAGTTAAAATATGAATGACATATTATATCCTTTAGAGTAACATGTTTAAAGCTAATTTCTTTCAGTGTACACTGTACACATGCATGACAGCTGGTGGTGGGAGCACTCAACAATTACTTAGCTGGCATCTTCAACACGTCGGTGCCATGGGGGTCTCGTCTTTCAGCATTCTCATTAATTACACGCCGCACTAATTAGGCTGTAACGGAATAGCGAAAGGATTATCCGCAGCCTCACCTGAATGCCTTCGATTTGAGTCACTCGACTTTAGCCCGCTTTAATCACCCGTCCATATTATATTTGCCCAATTTGCGCCAACTTCTGGTATTTCCCCAATTCTTGTTACGCACGAGCGCTGCCCAAAAAAATGAAATAGAATCGAGTCCAGTCATCAGTCACTCAACCTTTGTGAGTCGATGATGTTTTCTCATAGCCTTCGGCAGACGCATTGAACCAACAAACAATGGCAAACGACCCGAATTCATTACAAGTCCATTAAAAACGAGCCGAATTCGGCTATATAAAGCGGCTGGCGGAGGGCTAGAAGAATTTTATTATATTTGCGGCACCACAGTGGAATATAATAACTTATTATAAATATGCTGAGATCTATTATTTGTTTTGGTCTTCTACTTCTTTTGCTGGAATGTTCGGAGGCAGCTTTTAACTGCTCAGCGCCGCCGAATTTCAATAATTTCGTAAGAATCGTTATGAATCGAAGGGTAGTTCCTGAGATAATAGGCTCTTCTTTCAGGATATTAACACTTGCTGTCGCACTCCGGAATTGGATATGGGAGATGTGCCCCAAAAGTGTCACAAATATGTGAGTGGATTGAACTCGGCGAACTCCAAATATCCCAGCTTTGCTCATCTTGTAAGTAGTCATAAGTTTTTTAAGGGAAGTGCATCCTTTAAATTGTATTGCCATTTCAGTGCTATCCAGATTGTATCTATAGGGAAACGGGAGCCATGTCGAATGGAAAAATAAGAATGGAAAGGGTTAAGCAGTATTTGGAAGAGCACGTTCATCGGCGTGACCAGGATATGGTTACCCAAATAGTGCGCTCCTTTGAGTCCTGTCTGTCCAACGGTGCGTATGATTAATCACAGCCAATGCTTTTCTTACTTAAATAAATATTTTTTTTTTAACAGTTAAAGGCCACATGAAGTCCTCGAATATAGAGTCGTATAAAGTTCTGCCCCACGGCTGTTCACCCTATGCCGGAATAATTTATAGCTGTGTGAATGCCGAGACCTTTCTCCATTGTCCCCCGAAAATGTGGAAAAACGAGAGACCCTGCAATTTGGCCAAGGAATTCGCTGAACAGTGCAATCCACTACCCCATGTTCCACTGCCCAGCAGCTAATGCTCCACATAGATCTATTTCGAAATTGTAAACAAACATTTAAAGTAAAAGTTTCGTCCATTAAGTTTAATCTGTTGCCTGCTCTTTAAATGCCATTAATATCCGACCTCGGTTTGTCGACCATTAGTCGGCAAATTGACCATGACAACTGAGTACTAGTACTTTCCGTCTGCTCCCATTGGCCTTTATGATCAGTCAAAGTTCGATGTTCGATTGGGCAACAGTTTTCGATTAACCTGTCATGAACCAGTTAACCTTTTTCGGCTGCCTTTTGCTCTGGTCGGGTACTCAGGCAGCCTTCCAGGACTTTGTCGTAGGACCTGAGGTAGATAAACTTCACTAATAGATCTGAAATAAAGATAGAATTGCTCTCTTAGTACTATGAAGGTGATAATGGATTGGTTCCGTTTGAACAAGAATATCCGGAGGAGGATATGGGTGAGGATGCTATGGTCTCATTCCAAGATGTGCAACGTGAAGGTGTTGTGGATACCAATCTGCTGATGAAAGCCTTAATGCAGCATGCCCATCGCTTGGGCATGAGTTTGGATGAGTTGGGTAAGCAAGTAGCTATACTATACCAAGAGAGGTATATTAAAAGAAAGAAGTAACAGCTCATTTAAATATGGAAGCAGACGAAGAGGAGTCTATGAACCAACTGGGCTGCTCATCTGGCCAAGATGTCATTGGATACCAAGAAAAACCCACTTGGCGGGATGTGCTTTTTAACTAAGCCAAATAAATACCATCACACAGTGATCAAAGCAGCTGGAAATATGTTATTTATTTCATTTTAATGGGCTAACCAGATAGCTGATCGTCACAACGAATACTGTACTCCCTGGCCTCATTGCACACAGAACTTTTGCTCCAGACGCTGTCCGGACAAAAGCGGTAGAAATACCGATGGGCACACAAAGCGTACATTAATGCCATAGAGGAACACTTTCCAGTTAGAGGCATACGACGTCGCTTCAGGTTCCTAATCATAACTTTCTCCTGAGCAGAGCAGCTCCTGAAACCGTCCACATAGACCTTCACAAATTTATCAGAATCCAAAATTACCTTCAACATCTTTTCGATGTTTTCCATTACCAAACTTGTTCCGTTCAAAGCTTTGGACGCTTGGAAAATGCACTCAAAACTGCACTGTAAGATCAAGTTAGTTATCTATGTTTATAATCTAAAACATATGAAGACAACCTACAGGTGATATATGAACCCCATTGACCAGATATTGACTGCACTTGGAATTGTAAGTTGAGAAATCCAGATTGGGCAGTTTGCAACAGTTTTTCAAGGCCTAGGGAGTATGGCTAGTATTAATCTTATTTTTACTCTAAAACACGATCACGACTCACTGTTACATCTGGCCTTTGAGAGCAAACGTCCTCTGCAGCTGGATAAGCTGGTATAAAGATCAGAACCCATGTCAGCAGGTGAAGCATTTCGGGTTACTTCTGCGGTTTTTACAGTCCCCCAGTAATTCATATATACAACTCAAACCGGATGTTTCAATGACTTTCGGTTCGGCCCATTTATTTGACGAATCATAAAAAATGCAATGTTCATTTTAAGTTTTATTACCGCATAAAGCGTTAAAGTAAACGGTGACTGGAACCACGTGATGATATGGTTCTCGGACAGTTCATATTTTGCAATCGGACCATTTCGCATGATTCATTTCCGGACCAGCTAGATGATGGGCAGTGGTTGAAGACGTATTTCTGGGCACAGACTCCATAGAAAACTGCAAATGGAGAGCACTGTTCGGTCTTACTTTGGGGGCGGGTTCTTCTGCTGTTCATCATCTCTTGTACAGTATCCGAGCAGCTCATTATACCATTGTGATAGGCTTCCAGAAAGTCATGATTATTACCAAAGAGCTTTTCAAGCATCATTCGCGCATTATCAGGATCAATAACTCCATCCACAAATGTGTTGGTCGCATTGAATATGCATTCATATAGACACTGAAAACAAAAATTGGTAAAAAAAAGCCTTAAATTGGAAGAGTACTCTATAACTTACGGGTGAAATTCTGGGAGCACCAGCAGGCATGTATTTACCACAGGGCTTTATGAACTCATCAAATCGAAATTTTGGATATACACAGCAGTCCTTTACGTTCTGGAAAATAAAGGAAACCTTATATTGATCGATATATTTATATATACCATACTAGGTAAAACTCACATTGAAGTCCTGATGACGAGAACAGTCCACATCCGTGGGATTACTCCGAACCATTGCCACAAAACAGCAGATCAGCAGAGCTATATTCCAGGCCATTATTTCAGTTAGTCTGAGCACGGCCTGGTACTAACAGCTTAATTTATATATTTAGTACCGAAGGCTATTATTTAATTAATCGAGCACAGCGTAAACATTTTAATCGATGGTCTCGTGAGTCAAAATGTGCAGTCATCATGATCGACTGATGGAAGTATTGTGGGCCAAAGTCCAACGATATGTCCGATTGGGGGCTCGTCTACGGCCAGACAATTGCAATTATACTGTCTGAATTGTATATGCTTAAATGCAATCATTTAAACGATTTGGAGCTGGAAAACCAGACGGAAAATTATAGGTAATCCCTAGTAGTTGGAATGAGTAAAGTATAATGAAAACACCTCTTAGTCCTGACGGATATTTTAATAGTCAGACAAGAACTTTGAGAATATCAGGGTTAAAAAGCTGGCCAGGAGCAGTTGGGATCCCTCTGAACCACAGTGCTTACACCCATTTTCCTCAATCTGCTGTTTATCCGCTACAACGTTTGTCTTTTTTTCGTCTAGTTTTTTGGTGCAACTGGCCAAAAGATTTGGTAGACTTTTGCACCCCGAATCATCCATCCAGTTTTCTGCAGGACAATTGGCAGTTAGATATACCATAGTACACTGGGCATGGAGCATCGCGTAGGGCATACAGGGGGATGATGCCATTCCCACCCGATTCGCCACGCGATTGGAGTAGAGCAACAGAAAGTCGGCGTGTCTGGAGCCCAAGGCCTCGCAAGTCTCATGGGCAGCCTTCAAAGCGGTTCCATATCTATGGTAACCATTTAAAGGACTATACAAGCTGGTAATCATCAAGTAAAGCTCCGGTTTCTTAATCTTGTTATTCTGATCGAGGAGGTCCCAATGCTTATAAAGACACTCATAGCGGCACTGCAAATTATTTACAATATTCTTTATTTTATTCAATAAGCAGCTGAACTACTCACAGGTCCATAGTCGTCCCAATAGGGCGTACAATTGCTACCTACGAATAGGAACTTGTCAAGAAAGGACCTTCCACAACAGTAGACCAACTTTTGGGTGTTAAGCAGTTCTGTACACTTTTCCAATCCCGTCACATCAGTGGAAATAGTGAAAACAATTAAAGAAAGCCAAAGGAAACCCACAAACTTCAGCACAAAAGAGGGCATTTTAAAGATACCGCTGTAAACGGAACATGAACCAAACGCAAAATTTTGAAAAGAGAACAAAGTTCCTGGAACTACAAAAAATTGGTTTGTGTTACGGCTGCCAAATGAAGTAAATTACTAAGCAAATCCCCATCAGCATTAGTGGGTTAATATGTGGATAGGTGATCTTTTCCATGTCATCTCTCTGCTGGCCACACGCAAACATATTTTTCGACATTGAGTTGATTCATTCGGCTCTCGAAACTTTAGCTATGCGGACAGGGCGTATACTTGTTGCCTTGATTTTTCTGGCTTTAATAGTTCCTTTTCAATCAGCCAAGTGCAAGGCAGCTCCCAAATCTGTGCAGGTAAGTAAGGGTTATATTCTTTTTAATACTTCTGAGTACATATTTCCTATTTTTAACAGAATGTTAACGTCTGTTGTCCAGCCCCAATGCCAAATTGGGGAGTTTATAATAGCGAGTGCCATAAATCTGGAACACAGCCAAGCGTAAGTTATTAAAATATATCCTTGGGCCAAGTTAATTTTCTGAATTTCCATCTTTAAGTGCCGCCTGGCTTGTATCTTTAATGCCAGCTCAGTTCTGCAGGGCAATCGATTGATTCAAGGCAAAGTACGACCCATGTTGGAAAGGGCATTTGCCAGTGAACCCACCATCGATGTATATGAGTCAAACTTTGCCAGATGCTCATCGGTGGTAAGGAGCAAATACCAGGAACTTTCTCCTTTGAGTCGACAAAGTGACGCCTGCGACAGACACGCCCTCTTCTATAGCCTATGTGCATATGCCCGCTTGATATTTACCTGTCCGGATAAAATGTGGCAGAGGAATAATAGGATGTGCCAAGAAGCCAAGGCCTATGCGAAAAACTGCCCATGGCCAGCACTAAAAATGTTCATGAAAAACACTTAAGAATAAAATCTTAACAGCTAGAACATAAATCTATAAAGGATTTCAGTGCATTTTGCTTTTATTAATTGGTGGTTGCGTGATCATGTCGAGAACACTATGCTGGCAATGTGGATGATAAGCCCCGCAGTTCCCTTTCCGACCTTCCAGTTCGGCTGTGTAGTATCGCTTGGGCAAAGCCTCATATTGAGAGCTACTGGGTCTGAACATTATATGGACCAAACTGCCAAGCACACCATTCAGATCTCCCAATTGGTAGCTATTGGCCTCGCAAATTAGTCTTAATAAACAGTGATCTCCGAGGCCTAAGCCATATCTGGAAAATAATACGAATAGGTTTTTTGGAAAGCTCACAAATGCTTAAGGACACTCACATTTCAAAGCGATGGTTCATGATCTCATAGAACTTGCTTCTTGAAAGTAGGGATCTCTTCGAAAGATTTCTGCCCACAGGATCTCCCATTCCATCTAAGGGAAATCCCTCGAAGAAATCCTTGTAGTCATCGTCCTTCTCCTCCTTTGGCTTTGATTTTGGCTTATGCTTTTTTTTGTGCTTATGATTGGGTTTGTTTTTCGGTGGCTTGTTTGCAGCTCCAGGTTTGGGTTTAGTTTTCTTTTTTTTCTTATTATGATGGTGTTTGTGTTTGTGCTTGTGGGTGGAATTTTGGGCATCATCGTAGTAGTCATCGTAAACAAAATCATCAAACTGATGGTGGCCATGGTGATTGCTTAGCAAACTATCATCATGAGTACCATTTCCATTTCGCTAAAGAGGGAAAATTGGTTTTTTATTTTCATAATAATTTCTGGATGAAATCTTACCAAATATGGCGGTTTCTTTTTCCAGGTTCTAGGCAAATCGTAGGACGCTTCAAAATTGTAGGACAAAAAAACTTCTTGTTTTTCTAAATCCAAAGGTAAGGCTATGGCCACAAAAAGCTGACCAGGCCATATTTAATAGAAATAATTTCATTATATAATTAAAAATTCTGTAACTTACCGAAGAAGCTGCTCCCGTACTCCAAACGAACTTAGCCTGTGAAGTCTGGAAAGAGCCTAAAACCAACAGGATTGGTAGGGTTCTAAAACCATCCATTGTATCCAAATGCCCTCATTCGACTGAATTTTAAGTCTTGGAAAGCCAAAGTGAAAACCTTTTCTTTCTACCTAGAAGTGATGATCCAATTATGAATTCAAGTTTCTAGCAGCGAAAGTTGCTAATTGAAAAACCACTACGAAAAAACAGGCCATGCTAAATTCTTTGTAATTCTGTGGTCTATATTTTATTGCGTTCAATGTGCTTTAGAATTTCTTCAAAGGGTTCTGATATAAGGTCTAGAATACTTTCGCCACAACCCGGTTCATAATAATGGCAATGGTCATTCCAACCATCGTGTTCCGCTTGATAATAACGAAGGGGCAGATCTTCTGATTCAGAAGTGCTGGGACTAAAAGGTTCAAAATATATTATAATTGGTTTTTAAAAGGCTCTCTTGATAATACCTGAACAAAACATGCACTAGACTGCCCAAAACACCATTGAATTCGTCCAGTTGGGCAGCACTTGTCTCACAAATAAGGCGTAGCAAACATGATTCACCTTGAAAGCCACTCCTAAAATAGAAGAATTAGTAATGCCTGATAAACTTTCAATAATATTTCACCAACCTCTTTAATTTATCTATGAATATACGATATATATTGGATCGTGTCAGCAGGGATCTAACTTTACGTTCTTTGGAGAGTACTTCTGTGGCTTCTTCCACTTCTTCCTGTTCCACTCCACCAGCCTCCGTTTCCTCCACAGTGCAATTTTTGCATCCAGCGGCCAACTTTCGAGAAGACTCCGCCTCCGTGTCCGTATCCGTATCTTCTACCACTTCCTCCGACTCTATGGGACCATTTTGCTGGAATCAAGTAGAACCATAAGTAAACAACCCAACAATACTCCCATTCTGATTCATTTGTTAATTGTGCCACAAAAAAGTGTTAATTGTCAACAAAAGTGGCGTTTTATAGGCGCAAACAAATCGAAAATGAAACTTACAAATATTGTCCATTTCTCCCAGTTTGCTGGTAAATTGTAGTTGGCCTCAAAATTGTAGGAAACAAACACATTTCGATGGGGCAACTCGAGCGGAACAGCAATAGCGGCAAAGATCTAAAGTTCCGATAGCATAGAAGTATCTATTAAGAATAATTTCTTCTTGAATAACTTACACCATGGGTACTGGCGGCTGTAAAGGCCACAAAGGAATTGGTCAGCTCCAGGTAAACAGTTAAAATGAAAGTCAGGCCAAGAAAGTAACTAGGGAAATCCATTTTCTTGAGCCCAAAAAACACGATAGACCTCCACGATGTTCAGCCAGCAACTGAAGTGCAATTGAAGCTGAGCACTCGCAACAAGTGCGTGGCAACCGCCTAGCGAGTGACCGCTAATTAGATAGGTAAACCCCCCAGAAAAGTACTTTTCGGTTCTCGCCAGTACTTAAGTTTATTTGCTTCTTCGTCGGCTTACAATGTCGCCAAGAGCCTTCTCTAGTGGCACAGAAATCAGGTCCAATATGTCATGGTCGCAGGTCTTGGAGTAAGCGGAGCACTCCTGATGGTTTCGACCATCCCATTCGGCTTGGTAATACTCATGGGGCAGGTGCTCTTCCTTGGAGCTGCTGGGACTGTAAGAATATGAAGAGTTTTAAAGATCGTACAGGTTGACCTAAATTAGTAACTAACCTGAATATAATGTGAACTAGACTGCCCAAAAATCCATTAACTTCGCCCAGTTGAGATGCATTTGTATCGCATATAAGGCGCAGTAAACAGGCTTCAGCTGGAAAACCAGACCTAAAAAGCAATGATATTATGCTTAAATATTTAATTTCATTATGTTAATATTTATACCGCCCACCTTCTTAATTTATCCCTTAACATGGCATAAAAAACAGAGCGACTCATTAAAGTTAAGGCACGTTTTTCACGAGATGCCGCTTTAGTCGACGAATTACTTGGGGTTGTGCTATTTCCCTCTATTCTCCAATCTGTGCAATTATGGCAGTATCCTCCTTTGGCCTCACGTCCCGTCGTGGGATATGTCAGATAGCTGTCCTCAAAGTCCTGACCCATCTAAAGATTTTATGAAAAACTCTAAGTTACACCAATATTTCTACGAGCAAACGTAATTAGAACCCACCAAAATCGGAGGATATTTGTACACGTGCTCCGGCTGATAGTAGTTAAACTCGTAATTGTAAGACAGAAAGACATTGCGATGTGGCAAGCCAATGGGCACCGATATGGCCATGAATATCTACGAAGCAAAAACCATTTTTAAAACACCAGCTCACAAGCACTTGAGTCAAAATTACCCCATACTCAGAATTGGTGGTAAAAAGCAACGTAGAAATAACCAAATTCAAGTTTATTAATATGACACATAAGTAGATCAAAGATCTATTTATCAAAGATCTGAACATGGTAAGCTAGTAATATTTCCGATGTTCTTTTGTAAGCGTTTTAAATCTAACTGGCGGCCGCTTTGGACAAAAGTCGGGAAGAAAGGTGCGTGCTCAAGAAGCTGTTAATTAAAACCCAGAATTCGAAATCTGTGTCGGGCCGAATTGGTTTAATGCAGTTCAAACTGTGAGCGCCGGCCGATCATCCAGTTTATTGTTTTCCATTTCTTCTGTCCAAAACTTCCCGAAGAAGATCGAGCAACGGCCTTGAAATCAGATCCAATACACTCTAATGACAGAAAAAAAATTTGTAACTATACGAAATTATGACATTGCGGTTCTTCAAAGAAAGTGGTATGGGTGGCCATAAATATCTATTATCTATTTATATCTACTTAAGGACCTTGATTAAAATATTTGAGAATTCTCTGTTATTATAATATTTACACCAAACTCCGAGTTCGTTTGAAATAACAAAGTGGATCCCACTAATGCCCACTTTAAGTATACAAGGCAAAGGAGTATCTGAATATCAATTTTTTTTAAATATCCTTGACTTTTGTTACGCGACCAAGATCATCCAGTTTATTGTCTTCCATTTCTTCTGTCCAAAACTTCCCGAAGAAGATCGAGCAACGGCCTTGAAATCAGATCCAATACACTCTCTAGATAGAAAACAAATTTTTGACTAAACGAAATGAAGACATTGCGGTTCTTTAAAGAAAAGGGTATGGCTAGGGCCATAAATATCTAAATTAAGGACCTTCATTAGCATATTTCAGAATACACTGTTATTATAATATTTACGCCAAACTCCGAGTTCGTTTGAAATAACAAAGTGGATCCCACGAATGCCAACTTTAAGTATGCAAGGCAAAGGAGTATCTGAATATCCATTTTTCCTAAATATCTTTGACTTTTGTTACGCGACCAAGAATTGCCAGCCAACTGAAGCGCCTAGCGCCTAAGATAACAACTTTTATAGAAGTTCCGGATCTGTTAATTAACTGGCACGAGTACGCACCGAAACCACAGCTTGTGGCGGACTCAAAATAACCACACGCACGACGACATTCCGATAATTGTCCAGAAATAGACTTGAAAACAGGGCAGATCTACCAAGTTGCAAATAATGTTTTATTTCCATGCGTTCCGCATACGCTTATAGTTACTCCTAGTCTATAATAATGGTTCTTGAGGTGTGTTGCAGACGCTCGAGCTCGCCTCCATTGGGCATTTGCTACCTAGCGTTGCGTAGTTTTCGCTCCTTCCATGTGGCGAACTTGCCGTTGGCGGTGCGCAGTAGCTGGTTCATGTGCTGGGTCAACGAAGACCGCAGCGGGGAGAGTTCGTGCATGGCGCGGTTCTAAAAGGTACGGGGATTTATAATATAATCAAGGGAAATGGTGTAAGAACGCACCTCAAAAGGCACTAGTTTGGCCATTTTGAAGCGCTGCAAGGTCTCGTGCATACGCTGCAGCTTTGCCTCCAACTCTTCGGAGGTGGGCGGGAAACAGCTCCAGAAGTGCTTCAGCAGCTCGGACAGTGACAGATATAGGTGTCGCAACTCTCGTTGGAAGTCACTGGGCACAAGTTCTGCAAGTCGTATGGAAAAGTTAGTAATGTTTATTTTAATGAGAAGTTCATGGCAAGAATTTGTATTCAACTTACGTCCCGCTGACTGCTCTTGGAAACCGCGCATCATTGAACCACCAGGACTCAGCTCTCCCAGGGCATTTACTGCCGCCTTGGAACAGATGAAAGTACGTTGCACGTTGCGATTCAGCCAGGACTCTGAGTTTCGCACCAGCTTATACTGGACTTCTTCCAGACTCATGGAGTCGTTATGGTTGTCGTACATACTGTTCTGGACAGGGCCATTCAGGTAACGCTCCACTTTGGACAGTTCAAACTGTTGGGCCTTGTTGCCCTTATCCCCATGGGCGACATCGTCGTCCCCTTCCATGTGGGGATCGCCAAGATCCTCATAATGAATCTTTTCCATCAGTCGTTGCTTCTTGCTCTGCGGCTCGTCTTTATCCACCTGATCGGCGGAAGTCTTCGTGGCGGAAGCCGTGGCTTTTCCGTTCAGACCGTTCGTATAGGCGGATTGCGAAACCGGTCCGTTAGCATTATTGGTGCCATTGGTCATGGTCGAGGGCGCTGAGGTCACATTGGTACAGGTCTTGAGCACCATAATGGAATGCTGGTTGAACCGCTTGATCATGTTTTGATGCACGATGTTCCCGCTGTTCACTACGTTGCGATCCCCGGCCACGCTGCCGAAGCCCTCCTCTAAAGGAACATCCTCAAACTTCTTCAGGTCGAGCAAGGGATCACCGGCTCCCTGCTGCACAGCCGCTTTTAAGGCCTGGTCATCGATCTTGCCGCACTCAGTGAATATGTCCTTCGTGCCGGCGGTGAGGCGGTCACGATGAAAGTAGTGCGACTGGAAAAACTTGGTCCAGAACTCGGACTCTGGCATCTTCGCAGGCACATTCTCGAAATGCTTGCGTTTAACGGCGGGATAGGTCTTGAAAATGCAGTGAATCACGTCGGAGGTGAGGTTGTACTTGAGGCCGTTGCAGCCATCCGTTTGCGGCTTAATGTCAGCCAGAAAGGCTCCAGAGACACCTGGGATTATAAAGAGAATAAGAAAAAAGGAGTATAAAATGATTTTCACACAGACCGATCTCCTGGGTCTTGCCCATCTTCTTCAGGGCATGATCCTTGGCATGGGTAGCCCAGAACTCGTCGCTGGTTAGGACTTTGGTGATGACGAGGTCCTTGTAGAGCTGCAGCAGATTAGGGTTCTCTACGAGGATGCGGTTCTTGTCCTCCAGGTCCTTGTCCACCTTCCGCTTGAAGTTTGGCAACAACTGCTGCAGCAGCTCCTTGACCTTGTCCCTGTCGGCAAGCATGGCGGGCTGTCCCTGGCGATTGACGAAGTGGAAGGTGGAGGTGTTGCCGTCGTGGAGCACCACTTGGAGCTGCACCTTTGGCTTGCCCTCGGGAGAGATCTTTTGGGCTGTATATGGAAGGGTTAGCAAGTCTGGATGGAAGAGTTGAAAAGATAACCCACTCTTGATGTCCGCATAGCGATGCGAGACCGTGACCGTGTCCCGATGCTCTGCCATCCAGGCCACCCGCTCGTTCATCACGTAGAGGGTTCCGTCGCCCTTCTTGTACCGCACCTCGCCCATCTGGAGCAGCACATCCTCGCTGCTGGTGGTCATCGTGTCCTCCGCACGGTGCTCAGCAGTCGCAGTCCCAGTCGTAGATCCACGGTCGCCGTCTCACATGAGAGCCTCCAAAAGGACGAGAAGGGGAACGACAGCAGTTACCTGCCACCTGAAAGAGCATGAAATGCGATCTGAGAAGCATCTTCGGCTGGCGGAAAAGTGCCGCCATGCATTTGGGGTTGTCGGCTCCGCCGGCGGCACTTTCCCCCATTTGGCGGTCGGCGAGACGCACAATCCCACGTTATTTTCACGAAATTGCTGGAAACTAAACGCACCTCGGCTTTTGATGGGATGACCAGAAAAATACCTTTAATACCACTTTTACATACCGAAAATATACCATTTTGTGTGTTGAAAAATACCAAGCAGTCACGCTTAACGTTGTGATATAACTAAAAATCGATAATGTCGAAAAGGTATCGATAGGAAACTAAAAAATATACTGCACAGAGCGGGAAAATTTAAATGCAAAATATCTTTTTATCTGTACAATTATTTTATTACTTTATGCATACTTTTAATTACATTATTATTTATAGAAAATTTGATTTGTCTAAGAATCATGTTGTGATTTTTACTTTTGGGATATTTTGTCGAATTCTGACTGTGAATCTGTTTTATAAGCAACATGTAAATTTTTTAGTTAATATTGTTAACATTTATACAAATCGAATTCGACTAAAACACAAGAAAGCCAAAACAGGAGTAATAGATTTTTACCGAATCTGCTAATCAAAACCCGTGATTATTAGAAGATAATTTCCTCTTTTGAAATAATTTGAATATCATCTGAAACCCACGAAAGAGCTTTGTAAATGGTTAAACAAACTAGGATTGAATACATTTAGTTTAATTTCCCTTTTATTTGCCTAGTATGTACAACTAACTAACTTAGTTTTAAATTCAGTGCTTGGTGCGCTCCACAGTTCGCCCCCGATCGAGTAGCTCCCGGAAAGTCTTGATCTCGTGCCGTGGGATGCTTTCTCGGTACTTGGGCTGCATCAGTCCGAAGATGAAGTCCAGCTCCGTCTCCTCGTCATGTCGTCCCTCCGGCAGCTTGGCCAGCAGGGCTCGCTGTTTGCATACAAAGGAGTCAATCACCTCGCCGTGTGCCTGCTTCGTCTCAAAGATCTCCATGTAGAGCTGGTAGGAGGGTTTGGTCGGCGAGAAGTGATCCCTTAGCAGTTTCAGGGCATCCGGCCAGGTCTTGGCATCCCGACGCACACCCTTCCACCAAATCACGGCTATGTTGTTGAAGAGCAGCGGCAGACCCTTTAGGGCATCCTTATCGCTGATGCCCTCCACCTCTTTGTAGGTCTCCACGGCGGTGATGAACTCATCCACGGCATCGTGATCCCGCTGGCCACTGAATCTCACCGCACAATTGCTGAAGCTGCCCTTTGAGGGCGGCTCCTCTTCTTTGATGGGTGCCAGCGATCGAATTGTTTCGATGAGTATGCGAAATTGTTCGTCGGACATCTGTGTCATCTTGGGGCCGCTTCCGTTGGGTTCTGTTTGGGTTCCGCGAAAAGTAAACAAACAACGAACTACGGACTGCTCCAAATTTCAAGCCCAATCGTTTTGCTGGCAGGGGAGCAACTGGCGTTGAATTTTGCCTGCTCTGCGATTTCGCTCGTTGTGAAATTAAAACGCATTTCGCTCTTTAAACATCGCTCTCTGAGAGTGTTTTATTTAATGGATGAGCATTTGCTCGCTTGCTGGGGGGTTCACCTCTCCTATCCAAATTTCCATTTACACGAATTTGTTCTATAGATAATAGCCCAAGATAACAGGTTGCTTTCAAACATGCCATTATTATAATTGATGGAAAAAGAAAGAAATGGTTTACTTTAAATCAAATCAGTTTATTTATGTTTTATAATCATGTTATCTAGTATAACCGGTTTCCTGAAGTCTTCAATATTGATTTGTCATCACAAATTAAATGACATTAACTTTATGCACAAACAATTTATGACGTCACATAAATAGCGTGTAGCTTAGGCAAACAGAGTTTGTACTTTTGATTCTGCCCTTAATATACTATATTATTTGTATATTAAACATGACCCAAGAAGTTATACACATACATACATAATTGAACATGTTCCAA